TTTATCTTATTTAGTTTTAGGCCTATATCAGCTTTGGCCAAGACAGTGATAAAGTTATAGGGTGTGAAACAGAAAAAAATAAAGTTTAATTCCCAGAGAGAACAACCGTCCTAATCACCTCACTATTATGCAGACGTGAAACCAAGACAAAGATTTGGATTTGCTAAAAAATAGGCCTTCTTCACATTCTGATACTTTCTTTAAAATGTTGTGAACATTAACAACTGGTGACCTAAATCATTTACATTATTTTTTTCTGGACAATCTGCTGACCATTTAAGAATGTTATACAAAACACAATATTTAAAACATGCTGAACTGAAGGTTACGACTTACCATCTGATTTTAAAGCACTTTGTGAAGAAAAGTCTAAGATTGTGACTGATTTTGAGAAAAGGATGTACTGTTATTAATTCAGTATAAGATGATAAGTGGAATAATAAGGACAAGTGAAATAACTGTGTTCTCTAAACCACATGGCGTTTGTACTGTGTCCTTACATCAGCTAAAACTGAGTGAAAAAAAACAAAAATCAGGAATCATGATGAAAAAACATGACACAAAAGTAATTTGTGCCCACGAAACACAAATCACTGTTAATTATCCACTTAAGTATCAAGTGTGAGATCTCCTTGAGAGAAAAGTTGATGTCTACTGCAGTACATCACATCATGATTTAGATTTATTCACAGGGTCAATGAAAAAGGTGAACAGTAACGACATGGTCAATATGGGAAAAACCTCCATTGTCACATATGTAAGTTAACTTTTTACTTTCTCTAAAGCTCTGATAGTTTTCCTTTCTGACAGCATGCTCTATGGTGTGACATTTCCCCTTAATTTACATGGTAACAATTCAGAGGATGTGCTTATAGAAACACTCGGTTTAAAGCCTTATTTTAATTTCTTCTGGTGTTATTTCCACTTGAATCATTATGTCTGTGTCTCAAGGTATAGGACAGTTATTTTAGTTATTGAATCAGTAAGGAAATGCAGTGAGTAAAATGGTTATAAATTTCAGAGTGTGGCTTCATTATCTTACCACTAGATGGTGGCAGAATGTGATTTTTCTTTTAATCATAAACAAGTACTGCTGGACCAGATAAAACAGATATTTCTGACCAGAATGTAGTACTTAGTACCTTTTTGCACTTTACTGGACTTCATCAGTGGCAGACGGCTGCAGTGAGAACTGTGAAGTTTCACTTCCACTCATCAGTCATTTAAGAAGTATGTTTCTCCACTCTGTTTTTTCCAATTCATGCCTCGTGGAGAGCATCCTTTCAGGGAATGCTGATTCCTGGTTTTGGAATAGCGGTGTGCAGAAATAAAACGCCCTCCAGAGAATGATCCATGCAGCAAAATGCTGCTGCGGCATCAATTTCTAATCATCCAGGACATTTACTTACTTAGCTACTTAGAAATTCTAAACCAGAGCTAGCAGGATTCTTAAGGACTTGACCTCCTCAGTCAAAAGGGAAAGGGGAAAAAAATGTTATGGAAACCAGGACACCTAGAAGCCGGACCCTGTAAGCCCAAAGGTGTTGTGAAGGTAACCCAGGAACATCTGGTGTAGCCTCCTGTTCACCAGATCCTCAGTGCAAATATCAGGGAGAATTCTCCTCACATCTGGAGGGAGGATGGAGACATGAAATCTGAATGGGCCATGTTAAGGACCTCCACTGTGGATGCAGGTTCCAGGAGCTGGCTTGAAGGCTGCCGGTAACTTGAGGACCCAATGGCATACCCCATCAGTGGTGGAAGCCGTGGATCTGAAGAAGGATACCTGTTGGGCTTATTGTCCCAGGGTGATGCAGCTAAAAAGTCCAGAGTGGCTAAGACAGCAGCAACACTGGTCGTTGCTGAAGCTAAAACTCAGGTGTGGGAGAGACGAGGTGACCATAAGAGAAGAAGGACTTTTGTGTAGCCTCAAGGATCTTCCGGGAAACCATTGAAGGACTCAAAAAGGAAAAGCAGGGACCTTCCAAGGTGCTTGACCTGGGTGGAGAGTTCCTGAGAATATTGCTGGGCGGTGGATGGAGCACTTAGAGGATCCCCTAAATCTAATATGTCTTTGAGTGAGGAAGCAGAAGAAGGACTCCTTCATTTCCATGGCGGAAGTCGTTGAGGTTGTTAAAAAACGTCCCGGATACCCTTCTTTAAGAAGAGGGACCGGAGAGTGTGTTCCAGATACAAGGGGATTCCACCACTCAGCCTCCCTGGGAATGCTTATTCCAGGGTGTTGGAGATAATTGTCAAACCCCAGATTCAGGATGTTCCCTTTCAATGAGGCCTTTCCTTGGACATGAAACAGTTGACCACAACTTTATCCTTGCAGAATGGCTGAGGGGATCGTGGGAGTTTGAATCCATATGTGTGTTGTAGACTTGTTTAAGGCTTTGCTGGATTGCTTTCACAGCCACAACAAAGCAAAAGCTGTGTCCCTGTTCTTGGCACCGAATCAAATCCATTTCCTGCCGATTCTGTTCGCGATGCCCCTGCTCCTCCACATCCAAAAAAAGTTAGTTGGGGGGGTCCTGGCCTCTGGTAAGGATGCCTACAGGTCACCTTACCATGCTGGTTTCTAGACACGTCCTACTGGGAGACCCAGCACTAGACTTCCCGTCTGGGCTGTGAACACCTTGGGATACCCAAGTAGGAGCAGGTGAGTGTGGCTGGGGAGGGAGGTGTCGGGGGGTGTCACACCTGAACCCCTCTACTACACAACCCAAACTACGATAAGTGGATAAAAACTCATGGATGGGTGGATATGTCTCCAAATGATGCTGTACATGCTAACCATCATCTATTGTATAGATAGATAGATAGATAGATAGATAGATAGATAGATAGATAGATA